CTATCAGTTCTGATGGTAAGGACAGGGAAGCTGATCGGGCCGCGGCAAGACACATCACCATCAACCCCCAAAGCTTCAATTACCTGCTAGAAAATGCAGATTGTATCGCAGGCCTCGTCTCCGATGTCCTCGCACTGTAGTGGAGTGCAGACAAATGTGGGTTATCCTCTGCCGAGCTGCACAGCACGGGCCGACAGCTTCCTTTTCATGCGGGCCCAAGTGGAGAGAGTGACCCTTTTGATTAAGCGTTTTGGATGGTGGCTGTGGTGGGGGCCCCGAAACATGTTGGCGTGGTGCCGTCTCCACAGTGCGGGTCCACAGGCCTGCTGGTTGGATCCCCGTGGCGGAGAGTTCACAAATCTTCAGTCACTCGCGCCACATGCAGCCGAGGCAAACGGCCAGAGTTATCGGCTTCACTGAAACCAAAGACGCTCTACGGCATCTAATAATACGATTTACAACCCGAAGCATTCAATCCTGCAAATAAAGAAAGTACATTTCTACCGATAGTGCGGAGCAAATGGAGCAAATGGAGTTCATGTCTGCTTTGACGTTACGTTTGAATGGATTATCAGATGGAGGTCAATAAAAGGTACAGAACTTCTCTGTGAATATGAGAGAGAACAGCTGGATAAACACTCGTTTAATGAGATAGAACTGAAAAGTGACTACTGACAGCCATCTCTTAACTAACCTGTGGAAGCCTCACAGGGGTGCTAGCATGGTTGTTGACTCTTAGCCTCGTTAGGGCCTTTTCTTTATTAATTATCTAACTACTGTATGAAATTTTGCAAAGAACATTTCTTCTTCATGGCCAATTCAACCAATCCAAACTCACATCGCCGGATAGTTTGCTGCTACTGTCTGGTGCCACTGAAAGTAGTTCCCGATAAGCAGACTCCATGGTCATAATCAGCAACAGCTTGTCAGTCATCACAGACAAACAAACCCCAGCGGCAGCCAGCAAACTATCTGACAGAAGGTGGACCCCACACACACACACACACACACACACACACACACAGAGGAAATTAGCCAGAAAAACTGCAGCGGCACCTGACAAACCACAGCAGGTGATCTGCCCATTAAAACCCTTGTGTTGTCCTCCCGACTGCCATACACCTGTTGTCCTCTGGGGTCAAAAATGACCCCACCTGGTTTGACTGTTTTTAAAGCATATAGTATAAATTGTCAATCAATTCTGTTTTACACCTTTAGTCTTACTTCAGTCCAACACATTACCACAAATCGTTCCCTTCATTTTGGAATTTAGGGCCAATAGACCTTGTTTACATAAAAGTATACCCTGTTTTTGAGTGAAAATACAATGAAACAATGAATTATTTTGACTTTATATTATTTTTTACTATTTGACTGATCACAGAGAGGTACATATCAAAGTTTAGTGAGGATGCTGTTCTTGAATCATTTGAATTTTTCTAATGGCAGCACATAATCACACCTGTTGTCCTCTGGGGTCAAAAATGACCCCGTCGGGTTTGACTGGTTATAAAGCATACAGTATGAATTATCACCCACCTCTGTGTTTCAACTCCTTAGTCAACTTTATTCCAAGTCATTACCTGACATATAAAACATGTCAACATTCATTTCTGCAACATTTAACCCTCCTGTTACCTTCAAATTTACTAACACCTGTTATCCTGGGGTCATTTTTGACCCCAGCAATTTGAACCTGCAGAACATTATTGTAATTAAAATTGCTCCACAAGTTTATGTGTCAGGTACTTAGTTTTTTGTTGACTACCTAAATAGCCCTTTAAATAAAACAACCCCCCCCCCCGACACCCAAACCCGTATACATCCAGAATCCCTGTTACGGGACTATGGAGAAATATGCAGATCACCATCAAATCTCACTGATTGACCTAAAATTTGAAAGAGATATTTTTTGGGTGTTTTAATGGCTTTACATATAACTTTACATATCAACATGTTGAGTTTGTGTTTACCCAGTTGTCCCCATTAAATTAGGAAAAGTCATTCAATATTAAACCAAAAATATGATGTCTCATTTATTTAGAATATTTTGTGTTGTCCTGGGGTCAAAAATGACCCCAGGACAACACAAGGGTATGCGCGGGGACTAATGAGGTGGCGAGGAAGCAGGGCGAGCAGTCAGGTGACGGTCAGGTGATCAATGGGAGTGTAGTGGGCAGGTGAGGCGTGACAGGACTCTGACAGGACAGTTGGCTCACGGAAAACACAGAAGAGCAGGAGGCGGACGAGGCAGGGGTGGACGAAGGAGCCGCCGTCACCATGACAGCACGCGCCACCATCTGCACACTCTGCAGATACGACAGCTTGTGCGGAGCACATCTGCATGCCTAAAGGCTTCATTTTCACACGCGCTCAGCCTCCACCTGTAGATCTGATAATGATGATGTGAGCAGATTATAGCCTGCAGAGTTTTGTCACATTTAAGCACGTAAGTGTAATGCATTGTTAACATGATTCATTTTGTATCATCTTCCACACTTTGTGCGTGTTTATCCTCATTTATATTCCACTCTATGACCTGGAGGACTTGCAGCAAGAGGCAGATCTATCTTGAGGCTGTTGGTTTTTGGGGATCATTTTTCATTCTGTGCAACAAGCAGCTGTGGAACCTCACGCTTCTTTCTTTTCTTTTTTTCTCTTTAAATGTCCCCCCCCCCTCCCCCTCCCTCCATTTGCTTTCCTTAATAGCGTCTCGGGATGCTCATTTGCGAGAAACACCCAGAAACATTCAGCTCTCCAGAGGTCCAACATGTGAGCTTCCCTCCACATCATTTTAAAAAGCAATACTCATTCCAGAAAATAGTAAAATGACATGCACATCTGCATCAGATCGCTGTAAATAAAAAAACAAACACACAGAAATCCAAAACCAATCCAATCATAATTTCCAGGAAGCTTCAGTTCCATTATCGGGAGCCGTATAGTACACTGCAGCAGCCGGCTGAATCAGCACTTTACCGGGGTCGTTTCTCATAAGGCTTGTGTCGAGTGAGCGTCTGGGACCTCGTAAATATCCCAGCTGCACAGCCAGAACAACAAAAGTCTCGCTCCACTGCACAAGACATTAATGCAGACCCCCCCCCCCATCAGGATTCCTGCACGGATTTTAATCAGCATGCCATTTGTCGATAGAAAAGGTTTCTTTTGCAAAAACCAGGACTGTATGATATCGTGTATCTGGAGCAGGCCTTACAGGTAAAGAGCATGCTGACACTGGATGTTATTATCACTGAGGCAAAAAAAACAACCTAATGTCCAGCAGTTCCCTTCTGCATGACCTTTTAGAGAATGAGATATGTGTATTGTGCTGACACTTACAGATTCTGAGGGATGGGGGACTCCTCTGAGACACAAAGAGAGGTGAGCCACAGGCTGAACTCGCATGCAGATTAAGTCAATGTCTATAAGCAAGGGGGCAAAGTGCAGGGAGGGGATTGAAAAGAATATACGCATCAGAGTGCATGCTGGTTAAATCCCTTGATGGAGGGCGTTTAAGGCAAACAAAAAATAAAATGACAAAAGCTTTTGATCATGGGCTTACAGGAAATCCATTACCAGAGGGGCTGACATGCCTTTAGTCCGAGTCTGCGGTGGACATACAGAACTGTGGATTCAACTGCGTCACGTGTTTGATTCCGTCGGTGCCCATAGGAAAACCTATGTGGGATGATGACGGAATGGAAGGCGCGCGCACACACACACACACACACACACACACACACGATGCCAATTATTGACTTGACATGTTGGAAACTGTCCATGGTGCTGAAATGACTCGCCGCGCTCGCCTGAGGATTTAACTCGTTCCTGTCGGCCGCACGGTGACTGCAATAACAGAAGTGATGTTTTTCACACCGCGGAGCCCCACTTACAATAATCTAACACACATATATATTGAGGTATTAAAGACATACCTCGTGAGCTGGCGCTCAGCAGATACAATATTGTGTAGAAAGGACCCGAGCGCTTTTATTAGTCATTATTAAAATAACACCATATGGAATAAAAACACACCGCTGTTTGATACTGTGGGTAAGTCCACTGTGTAATATCAAAGGCGCACATGTGGCGAATAAGAATTTAATAATACAATAAAAAGAAAAGCAAAACATCCCTTCAAAATCACGTTTTATATCATTTCCGCTTTAACTCCCATACGTTTCCGATATTATCGGAATTAGTGATTTTTCCGCCAGCAGTCGTTCCAGGCCGCTCAAACTGCCAGTGTGATTAGAGATGCGGTTGCGTCACCGGCTCGGCAGCCGGGACAGATGACTGGCGCAGATGTAGAGTCAAGCCTGCCACAACAACAACGGAAATTAGTTTTATTTGTCCGTCTTCAAAATAAAAGCAAGCCTCTGCGCGAAAGGGTTATTTCAACTCCCAGCTGATTTTGGTAAGTTCTCCTCTCTGGTTAACGGGGTGATGTGCATGCCTATAGCAAGTATAATTTAGGGATAGACACTGGAGAAGCAATGACATTCAAGCACCTTCATATCATGCAAGACCTAACAATAAGGGGTTCTGGGTTGATTATTAAGACTTGTGTTGGCTCTGCCTTTTTTCATGCAGGACTAGAATAATGGTGTCACGTTAAAAGAAGCATTGAAACCAAATTGGGTATTTTTATTTTGTGACAAAAATAAAGTAGGTATAATAAATTGATTTAATTAGGTGATTAGTGGTCAACACGGATATGTTCACCGGGGGCTGTAAATAAATCGTTGTGATTTACTGCTTTTAGAGATTCCATTTATTTTAAGTTGATGGTTGTTGACATGCGTGATCTTCTTTCCGATTGAACCGAATTGAATAAAGCTCGTCTAATTAGAGCTCGCCCTAATCCTATTTAAAGCAGTTAAATGCCGCAATAGGTTGGTAGAGATCTTATTTTGAAAGCATTGACCGGAAGTGACCGTGTGTATTTCGTCTAACCTGTCGCGTGGTGCTCCTGGCTCAGATACCGATCAGCAGTCGGCTCTGGCAGGACAGCCGAGCCCGAACGCTCCTCGCGCGGGGATGTGCCGTTTCGCTCTTTAATAAAAATGTGTCATTTGCACGCGAGCAACGCCACCAGTTTGACATTTTTAATGAAAAAATGATGCCTGAATGTTTTAGGAAATAGCCTTTAACTGAATGCGTACAGTGCGACAGCTTCAAGTTTGAGAAGTGGACCCGTCCTCGTGCGGGACGAGGCCAGTCAAAGCTGCCCCGCAGGAAATCACTCTTGCGCGTGGCTTAAACTGCAGCTTTTTTTAACTGATAGGAGTAGTTTAAAGTGAGGCGGCAGGATGAGACGAGGGGACATCACGTTACCGTGATTCACAGTTTCCCACCATGGAGGAGAAGTTCAATAGACTCATCTTCATCCCCATTGCGGCGGTGCTCTTCCTGATGATCGGCTACCAGTACGTGTGCCCGGCGGACAGCAACACATGCTACTTTAGAAGTGCCGACAAAGGGCTCTACCAGCGGTACTCGTCGGGGTTCGAGTTAGTTTACACGGAGCCGGAGTTGGACGAGGACCTGCCCTCCAAAATCACGTCCAAATTTAACTTCACGGCGCGGGACCTGGACAGGCACGTCGACTTCAACATCCGGGGCGACGACGTGATGGTGTTCCTCCACATTCAGAAGACCGGCGGCACGACGTTCGGGCGGCACCTGGTGAAAAACATCCAGCTGGAGCAGCCCTGCGACTGCATGCCCGGCCAGAGGAAGTGCACCTGCCACCGGCCCGGCAGAGCCGAGTCGTGGCTCTTCTCCCGGTTCTCCACGGGCTGGAGCTGCGGGCTGCACGCGGACTGGACCGAGCTCACGAGCTGCGTGCCCGTGGTGATGAACAAGCGGGACAAGAAGAGCGCCCAAAAGAACAAAAGGTGAGGGGCGACCTGCAGGACAGGTGTGGTCAGTACGTGGGCGGCCACTCGTTCATTAATAATCGAATAAAATTAATTGACTCGACTCATTAGCTCATTCACTCATTCATATGCTCACGAGGAGATCCTCTCATTTACTCAGTTTTAAGGCTGTTCATTCACTACTCACTCATTTCTATTCACACTCAAAGATCATCTGTCCAATATTTAATATTAGGTCATTCACTCCCACTTAGTCACTCACTTGTTCACTCCCTCACCTACTCACCCATTCCCTCACACCTATTCACTCCCTCACGCTTATTCACTCCTTCATTTATTCACTAACTCAATTACCATTATGCATGCCTTCATTTATTCACTCACTCACACTTATTCACTCCTTCATTTATTCACTCACATATTCACTCCCTCACTCATTCAACTACACTCATTCACTCTCTCAAGTGCGTACAAAACTACTGAGCAGTATTCACTCACAAAAGACTAATGAGTTATGAGAGCGCACTAACACAGAATCCAGAGAGTAATTGAAATGATCAGTCGATTAATTGATTAATCAATTAACAGAAAATGAATGGATGACAATGTCCCTGATGGGCTGTGAGCGGCACCAACACGAGAGGCGTTCCGTCGGTAGATTAGAGCGAGCTGTTAAGCTTCTTCTGCTCACCTCGAGGCTCTAAGTCAAAAGGTAACCGGATTTTTTTCCGCGGTAACCGATTTCTCTCCGGCTTTCGGCTTTCTTTGTCCGCTGTGTCCCCCCCCCCACACACACACACACTGAAGGTCTGTGTCAATGTGTGCTGTAATTACAGAACCAATACAGCCAAGCTTAACGGAGTAAATCACTTAAGAAGGACAGGGTCCTCTGAGGTGTGCCGTCCGCGCGTTGAAGCCAATTTGCCGTGCAGTTGGCCTAGAGAGCAAATCTCCATATGTTAGGGTTAAAGGGGGGAGGAGGGAGGGGGGGAGGACGGCAACTTCAAGAACCCTTCCAATCCTTTAACTGTCCTCAGTGGCTGCCATCAGACTTACTTTAACCCTTTTTAAATAGTTTTGACGAGGCGCCTCAGGGCCATATCAGCACTACGAGCGAGTCAACAACACTCCAGTCAACACTTGTCAGCTCAATACAATCAAACAATCCGCACGCATTACCGTCGCCGCACATCGCAGAGACGCGAGTCGGCTGCGTTTGTTAGAGGGCCTCGTTTCCACTCGGGAGTCAGAGAGAGGTCAGAGGTCAACGCGGCTCCCGAGGAGCTTTGAGGGATCCGGCATCCAGCCACTGAGAGAACACATCTTGTATCCGCTGCGTTCAAAGGCACCGGTTAAGATGTTGGAACGTGCATGTTTCTTTAATTAACTGTGCTGCTCAGGATCAATGTTGGGCAAGTTACTCAGGAAGTGTAATAGCTTTTTACTCTTTTAAACGCTCATATTACTATACTTGTTACTAGGTAACAAAAGTAGTAAGTTACGTCACTCGTTCTATTACTTTCGCTGTAAATTCCTTGTTATTACAGTGAAGTCTTGTGTGCACAGTTATCACATATGACCAGATGCATGTATATATATAGATAGATAGAGAGAGGAAGGTATCAAATTTGAGCCAAACGCACCATGAGTCATCACTCACTCTATACCCGTGATTTATGTCGAACGGGTTGTGAGTCACAACTCATCAGCAGCCGCAAATCTGTCACATTAGCTCCTCATTTCCCGGAGGCACTGCCTGCTTGATTTTTCCGCCCACACACCAGCGAAAATCCAGACGTATGAAAATATCAGGGGGCCATCGGAATGGGCGTGGAAAATAATAAGACGGTGGAATTAAGCGGAGCCCTCCTGTCGCTTCACATTCAAACGGCTGGACGGGGACTACGCAGAGCTTTTATTCCGTGTTGCCCGCCGGGTTTCATGCCGCGGTTCGGGTCGGAGCTGAAAGGTCCTCGTCATGTCGCTTTGGGCGATGACGCCGCTCAGTGATGGAGGAGTTTGTGCCACGGCATGTTACTGCTCCGCTTAATGCAACATATAATGCAGCTCTGATCCATTCTGTAAGATCACTCCGCTTCGGTAGATTTGCGTGTGTTTCAGCCTTTTCTTATAGGAGAAGTTAAGATAGATTAGTTGTTTTTCCATTATATATTGACATATATATGCATGTATAATCCCCATTGCTTTCTACTGTACTCGGTACCAGAAGTCCAGACATAATCATTTAGTTTTCCAGGCTGATGTATTTTATAAAAGCACTCAGAACATTCTTTCCTAGTCGGATTGCGAAACACAATCCGGATCAGTAATGGCATGCTCTGAAGGATGACTCTCGTCTTATGCAAGTCGTATATAGCGACGGGAGCGCAGACGGTCAGGGGTCAAACATCGGGGGAATGGATGACGCCCACACCTGACTCAAGGCTACTCAGGTAACTACATGAATCATTTAAATGGAGGCATAAAGAGGTACATTAACCTATGTTTCAGCAAAAAGCATACCTCTAACCATGTCCAAATATCTTTACTATAATTAGAACTTTGGGTTTTATTATTTCGTACCACATTAATTCTCTCAGGACCGGTGAGAATTATGTTGTGACCCTCTGGTATGGTCACCAGACGGGTTGGTATGGCTACCGGCTCTAGTTTTCTTAAAGCTCAGCGAGTGATTCATTATGGGAACTAGTGGGCATTGAAACACATCAAATCAGATCAATTGGTTGTACTTAGCTCTTGCACATTTATAAAGGAGAACCACACTGAGACTTATAACCTCGCCTCCTGTAGGGTTTTTCTTTTGTTCGCTCCTTCCTTCCTTTATTCATTCACTTCATCTATCCATCTGCCCTCCCACTGTCTGGCAATTTCCCTCCTAATACGCAAACTTCAGCGAGTACCACGTGGTCGGTTCGAGTGGGTTCTGGTCAGGGGATCCTGCAGGGCTTTGCTCGCAGCAGGAAGTTGCAGCAGCTTTCGCAACGCAGCGGGCTACGAAAATGCCGCGCGGACCAGACGCGCTTCTATCGCCCTGCTGCCCCGTTCGTCCACGGCAGCCGGCCTCACACTGAGCTTGTCAGAGAGCGTAACCTCATTACTGACCTCATTATTCCAGATTAGAGCAAAGAACGCAGACTGGCCGGCAGGCGGATCAGCCAGAGTCTAATTAGTTCACAGTTAAGGTGGTTTTAGCTATTCGTTTTGTAATGGCACTCGATTGCTGGTGATAATGACACTAAAGGCATTCAAATATGCAGGAAGTTGACGAGGTTTAGTACTCAAAAAGGGATGGTGAGAGAGATGATTTTATCTAAATGCAGTTTTTAAGATATGGGGTTTTTAGGTTCCTAATGCTAAACCATGTTTTACTGAAATTCTTGGAAAAACATCCGGTTTCAAGTTTTTGACATTAATCTTCCCTTACAGTCGCAGTGAGTCGGTTTAAATCCTCAACCAAAGAGAGCTATGCGCAGAGATTTCAGAGAGGGATGTATATTACTGAGAAAATGTGTTCAGCTTGAAACGGAGAGCATTCCTTGAAAACGCTTGAGGCGTAGCGCTGCCCTTTTACTGTCAATGTTGCTTTTGACTACAGTGTCAGTCTCGAGGCTTACACGTGAAGTTAATTCAAGCTGCTGACAGCCACGCATTGTTCTAAAAACTCAGCGTGACAAGAACGCTGATTGACAAAAAAAAATAGTGACCTTCAGTTGCCAGAAGTCACTCAAACTGCTCCCAGTGGATCTGCGGTGCCTTAAAAAGTGAGACTATAGAACCTCTTAAGGATGAAATAGCACATTTTTCCTCTAGCTAATGAAAAGTTGCGTTCACAGGCAGTCAGTAAAACGCAACCTTTGCTCAATTCAAACCACTCAGGGGTTTTGCTGCTACGGCTTTACTTGGTCTGGTAAGGTGGTTAAATGTTAGGGACTACCCGTTGTTTCCGACGGCCCATTGTTCCGTAACCCCAAAAGTCTGAAAAATGTGTCCGACAGCCTGTTATCCCGAAAGCAAACGCCCATTGTTCCGAAAATGCATAGTCTCCATGCAACAAACAGAAGCACGTGGTTAATTATCATGCAGACCGTCACAATTAGTTTTTCCTGCTATGGCGAAGGCATGACTTGCCCTACTCTGCCTCCGATTGGCATTACCTTCGTTGGCATGAGGAGTAAGATCGGTTGTTGCAGGGAGCGTGTGGATTTTTAGAGAGACGAGCCTTCGGAACAACGGGCCATTTTTCGGACTATTCGGGCCATCGGAGCAATGTCATGGCACCTAATGTTAGCTAGTGTTAGCAAACCTAAGATGAATATTCCTGTATGACTGACACTACAGTGTGTAATGCTCCACATGTGCTACTGTTAGCTAAAGGCTAAACAGTATTTTCCCATAAATGTTGCTTGTTGCCAAAAAAGTTACCTCGTCTCACTTTAAGCAAACAAAAAAGAGGCAGAAGTTCTTATACTGGCATGTTGGATTCTGTACATTTAAGCAGACAGTCTGCTTTTCACTGAAGTTCTGATTCGTCACTTCTTGTGGGTGGAAAGGTAGTACAGTACCTGACACCAGAGGTATATTTTTGGCAAAGGGTGAACGTAAGGGTCTTTTGGGAGCTGTGATGTGGGCCGATAAAGTATGAAAGTCTCTTCAGGTACCATTTATTTGTAGTTTTCGTCAACGCTTCCTATCCTTACACAACACTGGCTTACCTCTGTGTGAGGAGGCCAAGGCAATGACGTCAAATGTCTGCTAACGAGGTATAGACGCGACGTGAGCTCATTCGTGAGCGTTACAGTTTGTCTATTCACACTCATGACTCAGCATATCGTCGATGACGTCTAGCCGAGTTAAAAATACCACCTCAAAAATATCAAACCCGTGGGATGTATGGACCCTTTAAAATTGGTTTGTCTTCAGGTTTATTAGCTTTATCTGTAGATGTACAGTATTAGTCTATTTGAATTTAAAGCTAAAGCTTATTATACCCTTAAATT